AGAAGAACAAAATCAAGAAACAAAGAATAAAAACTTTCTTATGGCGTTCTTTGCAGTCCAACTCTCCCAGAGGCTTTTTCAATTAAACTGCGTCATTTTAGCGTTACGATATAAATTTAGATTTATAGAGACCGCCCCTCATCCCAATTACTAGCCTACTCGCCCCTCTAAAATCACAGTACATTGATTGCGGTCTTAAATTTCACGGCAGAAAAAGAATACACAACACTTGTCCCCCGAAGGATGCTAAAGCATTTACATTCATTGAGTGTATCAAATACCCAACAATGTATATGAATTCAATCCAACAAAATAAGACATAAAAATCGATGTCGACATAATAAATGTGCAGGAAATTTTGGTATAGAAATCTTTAAAAAAGAGAAAATATTTTTATAAATATTACAGAAGGTATTCATGGGAAAGGGTGTGCATAACAAACTATCCCCAACGCTAACAGTCGCTCGGCTGGTCAAGAAATTCCCTCGATATCACGGGGCCCGAAGGTTCGCCGTGTTGAAAAAATCCCGCTGCTAGTCCCTATTTCGAGCCATATTAATCCAATCCACACCACATAACATATTTATTTCGAATCCACCTCAATATTCTCTCTATTCTTAGTTCTTCCAGGTGGTTTACTTATATTATTCATACATAAAGACAGTAGTGCGATAAAAACATTACTAGCCAGTCTCTGGATGTCAAAGCAGTTAGCTCTTCTGAAACGTCGGTCAATATTTACCAGACTACACGGCGCTACATTCCAGAAGACGACCATCTTGAAACTTAAATCTGTCATAACCTGAAATTTCACCCTCTGTTTCTGCCTGCAAGTCCAAATGGTGTCATAGCCCAGAAAAAATCTACAACTCGTATGATTTAAGGACGAGTACGAAGAGGTTACTGACGTTTCAGAGGTCCTCGCTGCCTCCATCACCCTGATTATGAAAGCAGCAAGGTCCTCCGAAACACTGGTAAACTTCTATCAGAATACACGGCGATGTAACATGGAAGACAGCCTTAATCTACAACTTCGTTATAAGAACCTCAAATCTAAAAAACTATTCAACAGTTGTTGGTATGGTAGGAGAAATACACTCGAATTCAAGTCCTACAATTTGATACTAGTTTACTGATATTAATAAGAACAAATGACAGAGAAGGGTTAAAAAACACAACCTAAAGATTATCTAGGTTTAGTGTTTTCTTCGAAAACACAACACGCAACTTGTACTTATTAAAATCAGAAATATGATGAGGTAGGAACACTAATTAAAACCCTTCGTTATTTCCATGTTTCCTTCCCAAGTTATGTGAATTGAATTTAAAGACAGACCAGTCATCAAAAAATTTAAAATTCTGTAAATTTAAGCACATGGTAGGTCTACCGAAGTTGACACGGCTGGAGCCCTTAAAATCACGTAGAAATAGGTAACCGCTGACTTTGCGCACTGCATGCAGCTGAAGAAATGAACACCACTTTCGATTCCTGACACTTTTACAATTTCAAACACGGTTGCCTGGGCTTTAATTTTGCTGCCTTATACTATCCATATGTTAATTTCACATACTTCCTTTTTGTTACTTCATCCTTGAAGCTACACAGACCATAAAGCAATTTTTAAAACTGTTTTATGTTCCTACCAAAAACGCATTTAAAATGAATTTAATAACGTGAGTCTAATAGAGAAGACGAGAGTATGTTGGAATTCTTAAGCTCCGAAGTTTGGCCCCAAAAGAAATAGGCGATAAAAGAAGCCGCTGATGTAAGAAGAGAGAGAAATTGTGAGCAACAGAGAAACTATAATATCCAGGATTTGACTGGGTAGACCGCCCGTCTGCCACCAAGCGACGTTATGGCTTTACTTTCAATCACAACACTTACCGTCTTTGGTAATTATTCTTTATGACATATCACGAATTGTATCGGAGAAAAACATGTTTACGTTTAAACGGGGATTCCTTAATGGAAAGTGTCTATCAGAAGCCTCAGGGCCTTTCTTTGACATGTAAAGTATTCTGTGAAAATAATTCATGTAACTGTTATTGGTCTTAAATATGTATTTAATTCAAGAGCGTTTGCATTAAAATTAAATAACCGTAACATTTATTGGTGTAGATATCAGGAAATCGTAATTAGCAAGTCACCATTACGACTCCAAGAAATATCTTACATCAATGGGGAAAACTGATTAATTATTGTTGATTCTACGTTTTTGACATGATAACCGTTGTGTAGTGGAAACCATTGGTCTTGTTTCATCAGCTAGTGTTAATGCGTGTTTGATAATGTACTTCCCTCCGCCTTTCTGTAAGCTGATAAGGTTTATTTTTAAAAAAATTAAAACTTTGTATCGAAAGGGAAGTAATTAGAATACACACTTCCTTGTTGCCACCCGCATTGTTTAACATTTAAATATAATGGTTTACAGAGTATGACAAATAATTCAGAACCACAAAATTATCAGTAAAATAAATATTACTGCGTCCTGAAAACCATTTAACATTAACTTATGTACGACAATTGAATTACCCAAGGCACAATATTCCATGTTTTCCCCCCTTAATTTCATTATTTATTTTTTTAAAATAACCAGAAAACAAATGGCGTTGTATATGAAGTCATAATGAAGTCAGAACACAAAGATTATTAATATTTTTTTCTAGTCCGTCATAGTTAAAGGAAATGAAAGTCTTGACTTAAAAAGTAATATAATTTATTGCAGCATTATCCTTATAAATCGCACTGAAAATACGAAATTTATAAAATTTATTTTTAATTAAACATAATGTGTTAAAGAGCCCTAACAAATGCACCAACACAAATCCGACCACATTATTCCAGATTCCCACTACACGATGACTCCGTCAGACCCGACCAGAAGCACCTCGTTTGCATTTCTTCCTACCAGTGTCGCCAACGACACAATTTAAATATTTTCCGCATTGCCCGAGAAGCACACTCGTCCAGTTAAGCGATTTGCAAATATAATTACGCAATGAAATGAGTGAAATAAGACGAAACGAAGGTTAAAATGCGTAGATGCAGAGATTTCAATAACTGCAACAAAATATAATCTTGGGTCTGCCGTAAACTCAGAAGATCTTTGTGTTATTAGCTGTTACATAATAGTAGGTGGACTTACCTCGCTTCTGCATGAAACTGAACAGGTCGTCCAAGAATTCCTTTCTTCTGGGATCGTCGTTGATCTCGTACAGCTGTAAGAAGAAAAATGGCGTTGTTTATCAGATTAGTGTTAAAAACTGTCACTAAAACAAATTCATCCCATCAACCAGCAGTATTTACCACGGCTGTAACCCTTCGCAAGCCAGCGAGAACTACAACCAACTGCTTTTACGTACAAAATTTTGCATGTCACTCAGCCTAGTATGGTTTTCAGAATGAAGGATAAACATTTTTTAAACGATAGTCTATGAATCCAGCGGTTACTATATGTAACACTATTTTAACAATACCTCCGAATTTGCCCACAGAGCATATTTACGGGTTTGTATAATTTTCAAAATAAATAGCGGTTAAATCTCTAAACAACGTTAACTGCTTGATCTTTGTACTTGTGAGGAGTTGTTTTTTATGACGTATAGACTAAAATTTTAAATATTATTTAAACGAGCTTCGGCTTAAAAGAGTTAATATTATTATTATATATTTACACAGTAATTTTCCACTCAGACTCTTTCAAAATCCCTAATATACACTATGATATTATGATCACCTTCTTTGTCTATTCTATGTTACACATAACTTCTGTAGCTGAAACAGTATCGTTATACCATACACCCGACGCAAATCAGCCACTTTCTTGACTTGACTGTACAACTGATTATTTTTATTTTTACTCACTTTTTATCTCTCTCCCACCTCATTTGTCCCTCTTATTTCTTCTTCTTCCTCTAATAATCTCCTCTCCCATTCTCGCCTCTTCACAACAATCTATTGCATTGTTTCTATTGCCCCATCTTTCGTCTCATTCTCCTTTTAAAAAGTTCGTCTTCTCTTTCAGTCACAAGAAGCTTCAAGATGTAGCAAAGAGTGCAAAATTAATTGTTTGCCATAAACAAAAAATATATTAAAAAACTTGACCCATTTGTACCCTAACTCATTACAATCCTCGTGATTGATCTACGTAAATCAACAGGATCACAAGTTCCAGCAGAAAAAAAAGATAAAACAATGGCCCTGTCTCAGTCTAAATAAATGTGTGCAGCCCAACTTGAGGGTGGTTGAAGAACGCAGATATTACTGGCAAAGTGGCCCCCAATAAATTCTAAAACCAGAAGCCCCAAGCACCTCAGTTTAGTTTTCTGTGTTCGACAATCATTAACACAATAACCGAAAATAATGATCGGCCATTATAATAACAAACAACGAAATTTGTTATACCAATAGAAAACTCTCTAACTGTCAAATGTCTAATGCATCATAATCTGAACCACGGTTCTTGAACACTTCGTCAAGAAGTGAAAGAAAACTCCCTTGTTAACTAACAAAGGAAGAACCTCTTTCATTAACTGTGCGGTTTCTTTCTGTTTAAGATTACGATATTTATTTTGCTTAAACTTTTGAAAAATAAATACACAATCTTTCGGAAAATATTTTTAATATTAAACAATCATAACTAAGTTATGGTATAAAAATCTTTCTTAAAAAGCTCATAGTCATTCAGATAATAATTTATCCCTCACTTTTATAGAATCCAAATATTCGTCTCTGCGTTTTCAAAGTTTGACATCGGATTCTACGCTGAGAAAATTGAAATAGAATCTGGTTCACACCGTCAAACCCTATTCTTTCAGCACCAATTTTAATATCATCCAACCATTATTCTCTAAATACTACTGATACGAAGTTTGGAAAGTTCCAATTTACTTCACATTTGTATGATATTCATATCTAATTACACAAAAGAAAGATAATGTCTATAATATCAATGGCTGAAAATTAATTAGCAACACAGAACAATAAAATATAACCATCCATTCTTAAATATAAAGACAAAAAATTCCCCTAAGCCTAAGAGACGACTGATCTGTTTCAGCTTTTGCCTCCTCCCCGCCCCCGTGAACAATCTTCGAGTAAAAAGACTGGGTAGGAGTCTAGCAATCTCGACGTGTTAGCAAAAAGAACATCCCATGACCTTGCCAGGAATCGAACTCTGGTCGTTCAATCAATATTTCGTTTTCCATCGTGAACACAAAACAGCCTTATAGGAACGCAAATAGAACGTGCGTGCTAAAATTTATTTCGTTTTAAAGCGAGAAGCAACACGAATCTCGCAACTTCGCAGTTCTTCTGGGACTGTACCAGTGGTTTGCTTTCATTATTAAAACGTCATGCAAACGTCAAGTATAAAACCGTACACTGAGATGTATCAAGTCCCACACCCTACAGGTAAGGGTGAAGACCCTCCCCCAACTCTGCTTTCCATTTCAACAGACAGACAATTTGCGGTGGTGTGTTCTGTCTAAGGAATGTACTGGCATCCAAAAAATGTCTGAATCAACTTCATGAAGGGCCTACGTGTGTATACAAAGTAGGCAAAAATAAATTGAATTTCGTGATGAAGTTTCACGTTCTCACGTTTTCTTGTAGGAAGTTGTGCCGTGCTGTCTGATAAAAGTTTACCGACGTTTCAGAGATAATTGCTGTCTCTACCACGGCGATAAGTGATTCGTCTTGATGATGGAGGCAGCAAGCAACCCAGAAACGTCTGTAACATGGTGTAATATCCCAGAAGAGGAATTTCGATTGGAATTTTAAACTTATCCTTGTCAGAGATCGAACCCCGAACAGTACAATGCAAAAACACATCTCCATGAAGATGTACACTCAAGGTCTGGTCTGACTGATACAGTCCGAGCCATTCATCCGACGATCTTCATAACCCTGTGATGGCTCATTATTCACTGGTATAGAAACCTACCTCCTCCTTTTTAATTTCTTGGCCGTCAACATCGCACGATAAAGGCATGATAGATTAACTCGCAGGGAACCCGCAGGAGAGGTGTTGGTTGCTGTTTTATATCAGCCAGCCAGGAGAAAGAGAGGTCCCATGAATATCTATGTATACCGCTCGGCTGTTACGGGGTTAAAAGCCCACCGACCCTTCAAGACGGTAACTGATAACCCTCATTTTTCTTGACCAAATCATGGAACGTTTCTCCCACACCTCCTGTACACTTTTAATTTCCTTTAGAGAATCTTTTCTTCTTTAATAAGGAGGGGAACATCAAATTTCCTTTTTTTAATTATTCGAATACTGACCATAAAGAAAAGAAATTAACAAATCTGAAACCAGCTTTAATTATAACATTTTTTGTTTCTTCGTGATGACGGTATGAATAAAATCATGTGGCATGATGGATGAAGAAACGAAGGGAAAAAGGGCTTGAAATCAAAAGGTCCTTTGCTCATTAAGTTGCATATATCAAGTACGTACAAAATTTTGATTGGCCTATACTCGGGTACCGCAATGGATAAAGGTACTCGGAAAGTCTTCATTGTGTTTATGAGCAGACAACTTGTCGCTCTTTCAAGAAGGCATATTATTTTTACTTGACGCCACATAGGAGGAAAAACACTATTTTGAAGTGATCACAAATCGATGAGCCCACCGGGAAAAATTCCTTGGTTCAAAAATTGTTTAATTAGTTAACCCACAATTTGTTTAAACACGAATATGGAGTGAGTCGTACTCGACAGCTGTATGTGAATAACACATAGATTAATTTACGAAGGGTCTCAAGACTTGCAACTGAATTTACATTTCTGAATGGATTTTTAAAACATAATACTGTATCTACATTAATATATCGTAAAGTAACATTTTAAAAGAGGGTCGTATTATTAATAATTTATGAAGCTGGCCGCTTTGCGTCCCGAAATTATTATTTTGCCCGCCAACAATCGTAGAGAATTACTATAAAGATGAAGGTAAAGAAGAAAGTCTAATATAATAAAAGTCGTTCGTGGATATATTATAAACGGCTCATCGTATAATTATTTTTTTTCAAAATAGAGACTTGTCAACGTTAACTTCCTCAGAGAATTTCCTTTTGGATGTTGACGTATAAAAAAACAAAAGATAACATTACGTCAGCAGACTAAAATTTTTCGCGCACTGGCCATGTTCATTATTATAAATATACATCAAAATTGATCTTAACTAGAGTTGCGAATTGTTTGCGCTTTTACTGTTATAAAATCTAAACACTTTATAATGAACGGATTAAGTTTGTGTTGTAACCATCTCACAATTTCGCACGGCTTCCATGTTGTTAATATGGAGGACTGGCTATTAAGCGTTACGAAAAATGGAAAGATTATTTTCACTTCCTTTGTCTCGTTATTTTCCTCTCTTCTCACTATTTATCTTTATATCCTTCTACCATTATTTTTCTTCAACTTTTCTTCTTACTTTTTATCTTATTTCCATTACTTATTTTTATTCTCTCCTTCGTCCACCTTAAAACATCGTATCCAACAACTAATTTAAGCTTAACTCCAAATTCTGCCACATCACAAAAAATAAGTGTTACTTGTTATACATTCATATCTAAATAAACCTTCCAATTTTAAACTCCTACGTAGTTAAAATGTCGTCCTTATCGTTTCAAAAGTTATTTTTATGTATCTCACACCTTGAAGTCCATTTTGCACTTCGTATCACAAAAAATACTACCGAATGTATCCTGTCAAGTAAATCACGCTGACAAAATGCAAATATACTTAAGGCATGGAAAATCACCTACGTCAAAAACATTACATTTATTTACACACAAGTGGCATTTATCCCAGTTCATTATTTACAATAACTATAAGATATACGCGTTTAAATGGTTCCACGTAAAACACAAATAATTCATCTTAATTTTAATAGTAAACGTCTACCTAAAATATTAAAGTCAGTGGATCATATCTCTGTAATCACTGATTATTTTACATAAATGTACATGTAGACTGCCATTCATGTACAATTCGTAAGCAGCAAGAAATATCCTTTGTGATAAGGGAAGAACTGGAAATATGTAACTGATTCGTCGTTAGATTAAGAGTCCAAAATCTGCTAATTTTTCCTGACTGAGCCTCACTCAAGTCAGTCATAATACGACTTAAATGTAAATTATTGTTTGAAAAATAAATTAACAAACAGGAACATCAACATTGTGTTATTTATGACACATAACCTCTTAATAAA